CCCCTGCTTGTGTTCCCTCTCTCGCTGTGTCTCTCTCTGTCAAATAAATAAATAAAATCTTTAAATAAAGTTAAAAAAAATAAAAAATATATCAAAAGGGTGGAGAGGAATTGGAGATATAGGTGAAGAGGCTCCAGGCAAGAAGAGTAGCAGGTGGGATTATTCATGGACAGAAAGGGAACATCTGACATCTTTCGTCAGGGCTTGTGGGATACAAAGCTATTGCCAAGCATACTTTCTTTCTTCTGGAGTTATCCCATAAAGCTGGATTGTTGTTGTTGTTGTTTTTGAAGATTTTATTCATTTGTCAGAGAGAGAGAGCAAGCATGCACAAGCAGGGGGAGCAGCAGGCTGAGCAGGCAGAGGGAGAAGTAGGCTCCCTGCTGAGCAGGAAGCCCGACTCGGGGCTTGATCCCAGGACCCTGGGATCATGACCTGAACTGAAGGCAGATGCTTAACGACTGAGCCACCCAGGTGTCCCAACGCTGGATTGTTTTGAAGGCATTTAATTCTTGAGGTCCATCTCTGAATTGCCTATGCTACAATTTAATGAGAGTTCAAGATATGCACAGGGAGTATTGCATTCCAGAGGCGTGACCTTGCATATACCGAAGACTGTGTATGTGAGTTCTTGAGAAGCATTTATAACCACAGGCTCAGTGTAGAATTACCACTAGTGCAAGATGATGAGAAGAAATTAAAATGTAAATAGACTGAAAATGTTACATCAAAACTAAGAAGTCTGGGCACGGGTCGAATGGAAAAAGGTTGCATAGAAGAGTTAAGTTATAACTTCCTTCCCTGACGTGTTCTGTGATTTACTACAGATTATTTTGTGATTTAGGTTTTCATGGCATTGAGTAGCAAACCAGCAGAGAGTAATATAAATCAATACCTTTCTAAATTATTGGGTTCTGCCTTTTCCCTCCCTGATTTTTCCTACCTGGTTTCTTCAACCCAGTATCTGAGCCAAGCCTAACATTAGTATATGAATATTTTAGCCTTTGCCAATGGGATTCAGAATCCAGCAGTCTGGGTCCATCTTCAGCTTTGCCTGTCAGCCCCTAGAGTCACCCCCAGGCATCCACATTACCTGGGATCACACTAGACTTACTCTTCTCATCTCTTGTGTCTTCCCCACCCAGTGGACCTGGTACGCTTGGCCCATACTAAGTCTGAATGCTTACCAAGAAGGTTTTATTAGGCCCAATTTGCTGTTTCAGAAAACTGAGTCCAGAGTCCCAGTCATACCACAGTATTTACTTAAATATTGTGTACTTGTTAAGTGCCTATGATCTAGCACTATTAAAAACTCCACTGCCAGGAAGTGACCACAGCTCCAGAGACCACACTAATTTAGAGTTCAGAGTCAGTAGCTTCAAATGAGGCTAAGTTTAAAGGAGAATTTGTTAGCTCTTTTGAATGAATATATTTGGACTAATTCCCCTTTAGTAATAAACTGGCTTCAGATGAGCAAGCTTAGTGTATTTTGTTAACCTGCAGCAGAATATATACCAGAATCGAGGCAAATTTGTGAAGGTGTCTGAATTTTAGGGCCCATCTCCTCACCTCTCTGCTTTTTTTCCTCTCCTTTCAGGACCAATTTCTCCTCTCTTATGGTTTCTACTTTTTTTTTAATTCTTTTTTTTTTAAAGATTTTATTTATTTATTTGTGTGAGAGAGAATGAGAGAGAGCACATGAGAGGGGGGAGGGTCAGAGGGAGAAGCAGACTCCCTGCCGAGCAGGGA